GGAATTTGAAGTGGAAGACCGGGGAGGTGCAGCCTGTGATGCCTGGGCATGCGGAGGTGTAGCTTGTGGTGCCTGGGCATCCAAAGGTGCAGCCTGTGGTGCAGGAACTAGAGGTGCAGCCTGTGGTGCTGGGCATCCTGAGGTGCAGCTTGTGGTGCCTGGGCATCCAGAGGTGCAGCCTGTGGTGCCCGGGCATCCAGGTGCAGCATGTGGTGCAGGAACTAGAGGTGCAGCCTGTGGTGCCTGGGCATCCTGAGGTGCAGCTTGTGGTGCCTGGGCATCCAGAGGTGCAGCCTGTGGTGCAGGGGCTGGAGGTGCAGCCTGTGGTGCCTGGGCATCAGAAAAAGTTGTTTGGGCTCCTAGGGAGGAGACTTGGGCGCTTGCTTGAGGGTCTTTGTTAGGCTTTTTGATGTCTCCGTTGGGCATTTGGGGATCCTCACTGTTCCCATCCTCTGTTGGTGTGAGTTCAGCTACGAAATCTGCTAGGGCTTGTGCTTTGATGGCCGTCCTAGGTTGGTACTGAATGTCGAATTCCCCGAGTTCTACTGCCCATTTAAGAAGTCTTTCAGACACGTCCGGCTTTCCCAAGATTCTTTTAAGTGGTTGGTCGGTGATGACCACCATACGATGGCCCTGGAAGTAGTGTCGCAGCCGTCTCGCTGTCGTGACCAGAGCGAGTGCCAGTTTTTCTAGTGCTGAATATCTGACCTCTGCCCCCCGGTATGCCCTGCTCACGTAATAAACTGGTTTCTGCACTCCATTGTTGTTTCTAACGAGCACTGAGCTTACCGCTGATGGGGAAGCAGAAAGGTATAGATGGAGAGTTTCTCCAGGGGCAGCATGTGACAGGAGGGGAGGTGCTGCTAGGTAGGCTTTGAGCTTTTGAAAAGCCTCCTCTGCCTCAGGTTTCCACTCAAAGGCTTTTCGGAGAGTTTTGAAAAAGGGAGACATTTATCTGCAGATTTGGAGACAAACCTATTTAATGCTGCGATCCTTCCATTGAGGCGCTGGAGCTCCTTGGTTGAAGAGGGTGACTTCATGTCAAGAATGGCCTTGATCTTGTCAGGGTTTGCCTCAATTCCCCTCTGATTGACCATAAAGCCCAGGAATTTACCAGACCCCACACCAAAGGCGCACTTCTCAGGGTTGAGCTTCATGTGATAGGACCTCAGGACGTTGAAAGTTTTTTGGAGGTGATCAATGTGGTCTACTGCTGCAAGGCTCTTTACCAGCATGTCATCCACGTACACCTCCATTGTTTGCCCGATCTGAGACTGGAACATCTTGTTCACCAGCCGTTGGTAGGTTGCTCCAGCGTTCTTTAGCCCAAAGGGCATGACCCTGTAGCAGTATGTCCCCTTTGGCGTGATGAATGATGTCTTCTCTTGGTCTGGGGGATGCATGCTAATCTGGTTGTACCCCGAGTATGCATCCAGGAAAGTGAGCAACTCATGCCCAGCGGTGGCGTCGATGAGGAGGTCAATCCGCGGCAGTGGATAACTATCTTTTGGGCATGCCTTGTTCAGTTCTGTGAAGTCGACACAGAGACGCCACTTCCCATTAGCCTTAGTGACCATTACTACGTTGGAGAGCCACTCTGGATACGCCACTTCCCTGACTGCTCCGTTATCAACCAGCTTTCGAATCTCCTTGTCCATGGCTTGGGCCCTTTCAGTGGAGGCTCCCCTTAACTTTTGGCGAACAGGCTTGTACCGCGGATCGACATTGAGGTGGTGGGTAGCTACTTCCGGGTTGATGCCCTCAAGGTCCTCATGCGACCAAGCAAAGATGTCCATATTACGCTCCAAAAATTCAATCAACAGGGGAGCCAGCTCTTCAGAAAGGGAAGAGCCAATGTAAATTCTTCTGTCTGGGTGCTCCTTTTCTAAGACCACAGGGATGAGTTCCTCGACTGGTTCTCCTCTTTCTGTTGCGGAGTCATCCCTTGGGTCAAGGACCTCAACTTGCAATGCTTCTTGGGGCTTCCTAGCCTTCATAGAGGATACATAGCACTCTCTGGCTGTTATTTGGTCCCCTTTGACCTCTCCGACTCCATTTAAGGTTGGAAAGCAGAGAACGAGATGGTAGGTAGAGGGCACAACTCTTAATGTGTTAAGAGCTGGTCGCCCTAATATGATGTTGTAGGCTGACGGGCATTCTATTACCAGGAAATTGACCATGACTGTGGAGCTTCGGGGTGTTACTCCGGCGGTGACGGGAAGTGTGATGGATCCAAGGGGATACACTTTTTCCCCTGAGAATCCAATGAGGGGTGACCTGATTGGCTGTAGCCTCTCCCTGCCCAGGTTGAGCTTGTCATAGGCCTCTGCAAATAGGATATCTGCAGAGCTGCCACTATCTACCAGGATCCTGTGCACATGAAAGTTGGCCACCGTCATGGTGAGCACCAAGGGGTCATCATGGGGGTGTTGGATTTTCTCCAGGTCCTTGTTTGAAAAAGATATGACCTCGTCGCTTTCCTGCTTCGGCACGCATCTCGTAGACATGTCTTGCCTTCCTGGCATGGGCCTTCATCGCGGAAAGTGATTCTCCTCCACCTGCTAGTCCCCCTGAGATAGTGTGGATTTCCCCCACAGGCTGCTGATCTTCCTGGTTGTGAGGTTGTGGTACACGTTCCCTTCCAGCAACGTACTGACGCAAGTGACCACGCTGGATGAGCTCCTCAATTTGCCTCTTGAGGTCGTAGCAATCGTCGGTGTCATGCCCGTGGTCACGATGGAAGCGGCAATACTTGTTAGGATTTCTGCGATTTGGAGGAGACTTCATTTTTCCAGGCCACTTTATCGCGGGGTCATCCTGGATCTGGAATAGGATGTGTTCCACGGAAGCATTGAGGGGAGTGAAGGGTTGACGGTTCCTCTGAGGAGCAGGACCTAGCCGGTCCTTGACAGGAACTTTCTCTGTCCTGCCATATTTGTTGCTGGTTTCCTTCTTATCGTCCTTCTCTCTTTCCTTCCTTTTCTCACCTGCTCTGGAAGACTCACCCCGCCTGGCCCTTGTGATGTCTTCTGCGTTTATGTACTTTTGGGCCTTGGCTAGCAGCTCTGGCATGCTCTTCGGTGGGCACTTCAGAACTGAGAAAAGGAAACTTGATGAACGGAGGCCACCCAAGAAGGCGGTCATCGTCACCTTGTCGTCGGGTTCATCAACTTGGAGTACCTCCTCGTTAAAACGAGTGAGGTAACTCCTCAGACTCTCCTCGCGGTCCTGCTTTATACTAAGCAGGTGCGTAACTGGCTTCTGGTGGCGACGCCCTCCAATGAAGTGTGAGACGAATGATCTGCTAAGCTCGGCGAAAGAGGAAATAGAGGCGGGGGAGAGCTTAGCAAACCACTGTCGGACAGACCCCTTTAATGTGGTTGGGAATGCCCTGCACATGATTTCGTCTGGTACGTTGTGCAATTGCATCAAGGTCTTGTAAGTGTCGAGGTGGTCTAGTGGATCCTTTGTTCCATCAAAGGTCTCCACAGATGGCATTTTGAACTTCTGAGGGAGGGGGTAGTTTGCTACATCAGATTTGAAAGGGGTATCAGTACGCCTTACCAGGTGGTCAACAGTCTCGGGTCCCTGTGCCTTCATGGCTTTGAAGACATCACCGAGTTGATTTTGTACCTCCTTTATCTTCTCGTCCCAGTGATTGGGGGCTCCTCTGGAGTGATCATGGAAGTGGCTTCCATGCCCCATGCTTTGGTTTTCACCCTCATCCTCCTGGAGATAAGGGTCCTCTCCCTGGAAAGCAAGGGGAGGGGGAGGTGCAGCTCCCTCATGTTGGGCTTCCCGAAGTGGGGTGTCCAATGGGGCACCCGGGCGTGGAGCAACAGGGCGTGGTGCTCCTTGATGTCCAGGATGTGGAGCTCCTTGGGGTGCTCTATGTTGTGCACCTCCGTGGGCCCTCCATGTTGTGCACCTCCATGTGGTGCTCCACGTTGTGCACCTCCGTGTGGTGCTCCACCTTGGGGTCCTCCATGTTGTGCACCTCCTTGTGGTGCTCCACCTTGGGGTCCTTCATGTTGTGCACCTCCTTGTGGTGCTCCTCCTTGTCCAGCAAGTATGAGTTGCAGTAACTGTTGGTTTTGAGCAACCAGTTGCTGCATGGTCTCCAATATTTGTTGGGGATTCGGGGCTAGAATATCCAGAACAGGGTTGATAGGTGGGGGTGCAACCTCCTCCTCTCGTGGAGGATTGTCTTCGTGTTGGTTCATGGATCGAGTAGTGATCGCCATTAGTTAATAGACGTAATGTTCAGGAGTGAGAATTTTGTCGAGTTTCCCACAGACGGCGCCAAACTGATGATGCACAAAAATGGTTTTGCACACCACCTGTCAAGTATAGATAATAAATGCAATGAAATCAACGAAAGAATTAAAGAAGACACAATTTATAGTGGTTCGGTCAATTCGACCTACGTCCACTCTTCAATGGCTTCAGTCGCCGGGTATTTTATTGATTCAAAGGTATAGAGAAAAGAGACACACGCTCCATCAGAGACTTACAGAAGACAAACCGACTACCGGAGATTACTATTTTCTTTAATTCTCCATTCTCTCTCTCTGAGCTTGTATCTCCATTCTCCATACCTTTGAATCAATAAAATACCCGGCGACTGAAGCCATTGAAGAGTGGACGTAGGTCGAATTGACCGAACCACTATAAATTGTGTCTTCTTTAATTCTTTCGTTGATTTCATTGCATTTATTATCTATACTTGACAGGTGGTGTGCAAAACCATTTTTGTGCATCATCATAATTTATTAACATAATGACATAGTTTCAGTAGAACCATTGAATCAACACCAAATTTCAATGTTTGATGGGCCTATAGTTAATCCAAAGATTATAGTGAATTAGGTCAGTAAATTAGGTCTCAATAACATTGCTTTATTCACAATGTGTGACATAAGTTTGAAGGTATGCCAACTTTATTTACAAGTACCTCCATAACCATTGCTTAGAATGGGATTTCCAAATAAAACAGGACGATGTGATGAGTGTAGTAGTTTTATAGAAATTACAAATAAGTAACCATCTCTCAATTCTCAAAGCACAGTGATGATAGAAAACACAGTCTGTACGAATGTGAGCATTAGAAGAATCGCAGCCACGGTGATAGATAGTACACCCCATGGATTCCCACAATAATCGCGTTTCAAAGTTGCCCTCCATTGGTGCAAAGGAATCTTGCAGTATTCATTTAGTTGTTCATGAATTCCACTAAATAGTACTCTTTAAAGTTTACGCCAATTTCTTTAGAGAGTTTGTTAAATAGATTCGACACATCTTCGTTATTCCCTAGCGAATGCTTGATGACTCCACTGCGAGCAAGTAACTCAACATCCTTGGGAGAGTCAATAAGCATATCCAAGAAGGTGATATAGTCACTCATGTAGCTTTGCTGATAATGACACTGCTCCAAGGCAACCATATTTCGTAGTGTGCCTTCTGTTTGGTCAAATATTTCTAAATAGGGGATCTGCAAAACACCTTCCACAAATTTCACCTCAAACAAGTTCTTGCTAACTTTTTCCGTCTTAAACATAACTCCAGCCTCGTTAAGCTTTGTTGCACAAGGTATGAAGTCCAATCCACCTGTTCCTTTGGGTGGCTGCCGTGGTTTTGTTGGTCTGAGAGACTTTCTTTGGAAATCAAGCAAATGATTCGCATGTGAGGAGATAGTTTCGGGTAGATAGAATCCTTTGTCCGCTGTTTTCTTGAAGTATTCGCGGGTCAGATCAACAAAAGATGGCTGGAATGCCTGGAAGTTTGCCATGTTATAAAGATCGTTGAGAACAAAAAACGGAAGTTGATTTTCAAGTAGCCTTAAGTCACAGATTATATCATATATCATCCATGGATTGTTAAATAGAGGATCATTCTTCTCAACCATGGATATGTACTTAGAACCCCACAAGACTTCAATGATGAAAGCAACATCAACAAGAATCATTTCTACAAATTCGTCACTTGTAAATTCGATGGTTTCTGCATAACAATTGCGTATTTCTTCCTCCTCCTCATTTGCTTTTTTAACAAAATCCAGCAACCCTTTTTGGGTTCGTCTGAGAAAGTTCTGTAGGTACCTCCGTTTCTGTTTTTCCATGGCTTGTAACCCTACTTTGCCATGGTGAAGTGGACCGATTGAGACTATGAGAGGAGTGTAGGCTACTTCATTGATTTTTCGAAGTTTGGGGGGAACCCTGTAGATGCAACGCTTAGAGGACAAAGTAGGCAACTTTTCTAAGCTCGCCTCCATGGATTTTGCCAGTGAAATGTAGGGTTCTTCTATGTCAATTATATGAGAATTGCTTCCACTTTCTTTCCCTGTGTCCCTCTTGTCCATTCTTGTGGTTTAGGCAAAAAAAAAACACAAAAATCTTCTCAGCTTTTACCATCACAAGATAGGTACAAAAATATATTAGAAAAAAACTACTCAACCTTCCATGAGGTAAGGTCTGTGCACCGTGTGTTTTATTGTGAACCAATTGACCGATTTTTCGTGATTGTAGGGATTACATGAATCCACCATGCTATTCTTAATTTTTTCCAAAATTGGTTTGTCAAATCAATCAAAATTGTTAGATAAGTAGATTCCATTAATTTTTTCAGTAAAATCCATTTATCCGACAAACTATAGTAAGAGTCTTGGTGTACATCATTGCTCAATATGAATTGCTTGTTCAGTATAGAGATCTTCTCACGAATAGAGAGATTTACGTAGTATTAATGTGAAAAGCATTAAGGTAGAAGAAGAAAATGTGAATTCGATAATAATATAAACATTTAGGTTAAAAATAATAACTTTTTTAGAAAATTAATTTGACATTACTAGTTCTAATGGGGTTGTCAATAGATCATGTTGAGTTTCTTTCTGTGTCTCATTCATGTGGGTCAGAATCACATTATGTATACTAAAATTCTTCCTTATCGATTCATTTATTAAGTGGGTCTGATATATGGGTCAATCCGATAATAACCATAATTCATTAAAGCTAAAGTAACAACGATTGCCTTAAAGTTAATTTCTTGTCAAATTGGTGGTATATATATATCAAAAATTGCCTATCCATAACACATTAGTTTACGAGAGAGAATATTTTAAGGGGAGTTAGATACAGATAATGAAGAAAGACAATGCTGGCACAAATGAAGAAAGACACACACAGAGCCATGGATGCGTGCGCACACTCACTCACTCACATAGTGACACAAAGACTTGCTTGTCAGACCAAGTTACGTCCATAACTCTCAAGACAAGAGACATAAATACTAAGCAAGTTGTTGGTTCAAAAAATAGATAGGTCATAGATCTTTGTAAAAGTATAAGCAGTTTGATTTTTTGCTAGCAGGAATTAGCTTAGGTAGTGAAGCTTGTCCAAAGTTACAATTTAGGCTTCGTTTGGTAACCGCCATTGTTCTCAATTTTCTGTTTTTGATTTCACTTTTTATTTTTTGGAAACTAACCACGCAACCGCGAGCAAATATGGGTGGTGATAAACAATAAATCTACTTTGAGTTGTAAACTATGCTCCAAGCACTTTGTCTCTCTAAAAATTCTAAAATTGTCTCTAAAGTATATGCTTTGTGTCAATTTGGTTATCGTTTTTTTCATTTATCATTTTAATTTTTCAAGTGCCAAATTTGTGTCACTTGGCCCAATTTAAAAAAGATGTTTAGCTCACTGAATTTGAGATGACATTTTCCTTATTTGTTCATAAATGATTACTCAACTAAATAAAAATTACTTTACTTATGGGAAAAATGTCAATTTAAATTGATTAATGGACGTGGTTATGTAGTTTACATATGTGCACAATTAAGAGGCACATTAGTCCTTCAGGTTTAAAATTTTGTGTAGTCACTAAGTTATCAAAGAATAACTCTCTAGTATAGTCACATGTGATACACATTATCGCCTCTATTATTATTTAGTTTAAATTGCCGTCTTGGACAAAAATGACATAAATTTAAAAAGGTCAATGCTACATTACATGGACCCCTTATTTTTGACTGTGTTAAAGGAAATGACAAAAAGGCCGATTTAACTTTGAATTTGACTTTAATTAAAAAAATAGTCAAATCAAAATTTGGAAAGACGATAATACCTCTAAGAAGTAGACATTCCAAATGGTTTACTAGGGTTAGTAGAGTTTTTCGTAACCAGTTCTGCTTATGAAGGGACACACAAAGAAGGGGGGCGTGGGGAGAGAAACCATCTTCTCTTCATCAAATGCCTGTGATCTGGGTGAAACCTCATAGCAATATTTCATCTAGACTCGAAGTTGGCGTCCGTATGATTCTAACCATAGATTCGTATATTTCAGTCTTTTTTGTGTTGAACAATATTAACCCTAATCATCTTATAATCATCCTAGATTTGGCCTAGATTCTGAAATTTTTGTCAATCCCTACACAAAACCCAAGATCCCTTGACCACTAACCCATCCTAACCCGAGATCTATAAACCCCAAACCCCAAACTTCACCTACAAACCCCAAAACCCAGCTTTGTGAGTACTTCTCAAATCTAATCAATCAGTACACTGCGATTTTGTTATGTATTATTCCATCTTCTAGCTCCACTTTCTGAACTTAATTATTATAGATTAAAAAGTTTTTTTTTTCTAATATTTGTATGATCGACCCAGATGAGTACTCATACATCGACATGATGACAGAAATTAGAGCAGTAAGTGTTCCTATTAATATTGAAGGGCCAACTGGTAATGGAAAATTGGTAATTTTAGATGGATAAAAGTTTAATGGCAATGTTTCATATTTATAGATATAGTATGGAGATTCACTTGTTTGGGGATGTTAACATTGGATATCAGGCAACACTTCCATCCCCACCTGTGGAAGCAGAGGCTGGAAATGGGGACGCAGAGGCCTTCTAAAAGTTTATAGTTATGCCTCAACAACCATAAGTGCCATTGTTATGTTTCTGTATAGATATCAGGCACAATTGAAAGCAAAGTGCCATTGTTATGTTTCTACGGGCAAAAATCCTAACATCACCTTGGTTTTGTGGCACGTTGCTGTACTTCTGAAACATCAAATAGACAATGAGGTACATTTTATCTTTTAGAGGATATGAGGGATACAATGCCATTAGTCCTCCAATAGAAATTAAAGTGTTGACTTTCCTTTTACCTTGTGGCATGGATGTAATCAATTCCTAACCCTCAAGTGAGGGTTCAAGGATGGTAGAGAGAAAAGACATAGAAAAATAGCAATAATATGCCAGAGACAAAGAAATCCAAAGGATAAGTGTCCACAATGAAAGCTTACAAGATCCACATACCTTGAATATATGTTTAAGGTCTTCCCAATAATAGCTTCAAATATGTCTGCAGCTGCAATAATGTAATAAATTATTGGCAAGGAAATGAAAAAAAGAATAAAAAATTAGATAAATTAGTTTAACTCACTTCTTTGAGGACATATCTTTGACACAACCTTCAGTGTGCTCTAGCATGGTAACCAAGAAAACTATATATAGCAATACATGGTCACTCTAAGAACTTCTATATGCTTAAACGTTATTTCAAGGCAAGTATTTGTTCTATTTGTCTGACTAAAACTTGGTAAAATTGATTGTTTTCTTAGTCTTGGTGATCAAACCTTCATAGAAAGAGGCAAAAGAATAAAGTTAAGAGGATGCTTCTTACATATATTCAAGGAAAGCATTTGTACTTTCTCGAACCAAATCTAGTTAAGAATAGGTGCGTTAATTGAGCCTGACCTTTAGGTAAGTGATATACTTAGACTCGGCTCGAATAGACTATCATTGGTTCAAGCTGGATTCATGTTCGGCAGTCTAGTTGGAATTTTTGCTCAATACATTCCTAAATTGTATTCTAAGGTTTGGTTTTGGAGCTAAAATTTGAACTCAAGCTCAAGTATATCCACAAAAACATGCCCAATACGAGTCAAAACCAAAATTTCTTAACTATACAGGTGGTTGTCTACCATATATATATATATATGAAGAGAAAGGAATTCCAGGCTTCACTCACTCACTAACCTAAGACTGGTTCATGTTTGGTTGCTCCCTAGCTCCTGCTTAGCTTAGCATTTCGTTGACTCTTTGATCTTGAATCCATGGCACAAGGGCTATTCTGTATGGGTTACCTAGCTTGTTATTTTTTGGTGTTACTAACCATGCATCTCTTGCGTTTAATACATTAATGAAACTCACTTACCTTCCAAAAAAAATAATTTCTTAATTAGAAATCAAACATCTAGTCTATTAAGTTCAAAGTGTTCCGTCAATATTTATTCACCACAAAAAAATCTCAATATATTACCAACAAATAAAGCTTGAGCTAATCAAGTCGAGTGGCACTTTGTTGGGTCTTTTTAGAATATTGAATGAGATTAAAAATTTGGGCATATTTTGTTCATTTTCTAATACGCACAAACTTGAATGAATCAAACTACACTTCAAAAAGGTCTGGCACTCTTGAAATTATGTTGGAGCCTTAAGAATAATTAAACAGCCTATAGTTCTGCCAATGTCGCTAAAACTAGTGGAGTTGATTCTTTGCTTTGAGTTCTCAAACAAGTAGAGAGAGAGAGAGAGAGGAGAGAGAGAGAGACGAAAAAGAAAAAGATAATGCAACATTCACAATCCATAGTTATTCATTTTTGGTTGACAAGTAATTCCATGAACACTTTAACGATTAGCATTTAGCCTTCACCTAATGCTAGTTAATTAATCTTACACTCAACGCTCTATTCAGTGAATAACAAAATAATTCGGACATAATTTACTGATCGAATTTATCAACCTATTATATTACTGGTGGTTAAATATTGCCCAAATCAAGAGAGACTCAAATATTTATCATTTTCACAAATATTTAGATTTCACTCTCCTTTAAAGATCTAATGGTCATATTCTCTCATCTTTTAAATTTGGGTTTACATTCCTTTAAATCTGAGTTTTTTTATTGGAGAGGTCTATAACAAATTAAACTTTTCACTTTTTTTTTACTCACATTTGGATAATAGTTTGAGTTTTTACTGGAGATGGTCTTACTAGGGTTTAAGAGTTTTTCGTAACCCGTTGTGCATTTGAAGGGATACACATAGAGATTGGGGAGGGGGGAGGGGGGAGGGGGGAGGAGGGAGGGAGGGGGAGAGAGTGAGAGAGACCATCTTTGTCTTCATTAAATGTCTGTGATTTGGGTGAAATCTCATAGCAACGTTTCAACCAGACTCGAAGTTGGTCTGCGTATGATCCTAACCCTAGATTCAAATATTTCGGCCGTGTTTGTGTTTAACCTTGACCCTACTCGTCTTATATTCATCTTAGATTTGGCCTAAATTTTGAAATTTCTATCAATCCCTACTTATAAACCTAGATCACTTGACTCGTAACCCATCCTAACCCCAGATCTTTGTGAGTACTACTCAAATCTAATCAGTACACAGTGATTTTGGTATGTATTATTCCATCTTCTTGATTAGCTTTTCGGAATTTCTTAAATATTATGTATTCAAAGAGGTTTTTTTTTTAATTTTTAATTCCAATACAAATTATTAATGTTCTCTTTATTTGGGTTAATTTGTTGTAAGCTTTTAGATGTTTAGCATGCGTTCTACAGTTTTTTTTGTAGCTTTGAATGTATTCTCATTTTTTCGTACAGAGATGGATGAGCAAAGACATGATTTTGTTGTCCATATTAGATATATGGTTTCTGATATATGTGGGGTTGAGTCAAATGAGTACTCATACATTTAGGTGATGATAGAAATTTGAGCAATAAGTGTTCCTAATATTGATGCGAATGTTATGCTAGTAATTACTATCAATGTTAAGGGCCAGAGGGTAGTAAAAATTTGGTAATCTCAGATAATAAAAGTTTAATAGAAATGCTTCATATTTATAGATACAGTAAGTAGATTCACTTGTTTGTGGATGTTGACATTGGATATTAAGCAACACATCATGCCCACGTGTGGAAGTAGAGTGTCATTGTTATGTTTCTGTCTAGACATCGGGCACGGTTCAAAGCAAAGTGCCATTGCGGAAAACCCTAACATCTCAAGTTTTTGCGACACAGTGCTATACTTCTGAAATTTTGAAAAGATTTATGAAATAAAAATTTTGAAGTGTTTGAGGGTTACAATGCCAGTAGTCCTCCAAAAGAAAGTAAAATATTGGCTATCCTTTTACATTGTGGCATAGAAGTGATCAATTCTTAACCCTCAATTTAGGGCTAGGGTTTTGTAAAATCAAACGATGACAATGAAGTAAAATTAATGAAAAGAACGATAAGAATACAATCTAAACAATCACACAACACAAAATTTACGTGGTTCGATAATTTACCTACGTCTCCGAAACTGCAGGGATTTCACTATTCTCAAGAAAGAACACAGAGAGTGCGGCGGCTGTAAAAATTAAAATCAACTCTAATCACAAAAATAATAGTTTTTATATGTCATGAGCACTGGGCTATAAAACAGGTCCAAAAATTTTTTGTCGCCCAAGCCACCGGTCCATGGATTAAGTCTTAAAAAATTTTTCATTAAAAAAACGTAATATTATTTCGGGTCGGATCATCATTCGGATCACATACATAACTAGACTCCACAAAAAAAAAAACCCAATAAATCTCTCACTTGGAGACTAGTTCAATCATCGACATCAACCACAATCGTCCAAGAATAGTCCCTCATCCCTACAACTCATCCTCCTGTCCTCAAGCTAGAACGCCAATTGAAGCTGTAGACAGCTTCAACTTCTCAATAGTGATACCCTTAGTCAACATGTCTGCCGGGTTCTTAGTTCCACAGATCTTCTCAAGTATCAACTTACCATCATCAAGTAAGGACCGTATGAAATGATACCTAATCTGAATGTGCTTCGTCTTGAAATGAAATGCCAAATTCTTGGTTAGGAATATAACACTCTGACTATCAGTGTAAATAGTATCTTTCTGTTTCTTTTTACCTAGTTCCTCCAAGAAACTCTATAAGCAAATTATCTCATTTGAAGCCTTTGACACTGCAACATACTCGATCTTTGTAGTAGAAATAGATACTGTCTTCTACAGGTTGGAACCCTAAGACATGGTAGTACCACCCAAGGTGAAAACAAAATCGGTGGTACTTTTCCTACTATCAGTGTCTCCAGCCAAGTCAGCATCAACAAAACCATATAACTCCAAACTATCTCTGGTGAAACACAAACATGCTTCTGAGGAACCTTTCAGGTACCTCAGAATTCACTTCACAGCCTCCCAATGTTGTTTTCTTGGGTTACTTATGTATCTACTCATAACTCTCACTACATGGGCAATGTCTGGTCTTGTGCAGACCTTAACATACATGAGTAAACCAATAGCTAATGCGTAAGGAACCTTACTCGTATAGTCATGTTCCTCCTCTATCTTGAGTGATTGATTTTTGTTGAGTCTGAAGTGACTATGTAGCGGTGTGCCAACTAGTTTGGTTTGGTCCATGTTAAATCTACTGAGTATCTTTTTGACGTACTCAGCCTGCGACAGTTTCAACGTGCCCTTGACTCTGTCTCTGATGATTCTCATACCAAGGATTTGTTTTGCAGCTCCCAAATCCTTCATTGTAAACTATTTTGACAACTACTTCTTCAAATTGTTAATCTTCTCAATGCTGGACCTTGCAATGAATATATCATCCACATACAACAAAAAGATGATATAGAGTTGTCAAATTGCCTGACATAGCAACAATGATCTTCTTGACACCTGATGTTGTAATTACCCATAAAAAAAAAATTATTATATTATTTTGGTGCATTGACTACCTAGGAGTATATATATATATATATATATATATATATATATATATATATATAAGGATAAAATAATTAAAGAAAACTAATATGTCTCTAATAAAAGTCTTACACTAGAGAGACCTATTAGGACTCTTATACATATGGTTTTAAATATGGTAGTATTGTGGATATATATATATTCTCTTCCCAACACCTACACATACATTAGAATAATAGAAAGGAGAGGAGAGGTTAGGGTTTGAAGTAAAGAAAAAGGAAGGAAGTAGAACGAGAAAAGAAAGAAAATGTTTGAATCCATTAAATGTATGAATTTATTACTTAATTTATGAGTTTTGTATTTTATTCAATCAGATGGTGTTAGGTTTATCACACACACACACACACACACACACATATATATATGTTCATAGTAAAGAATATTAGTAAATAAATAAATGAGTTTCATTATGGATGTTAATTTTGAAGAAGTTTGCCCAAATTAGGTTGGTAGAATTTGATCAATATGTTAAGGAGAAAGAATAACAAAAAAAAAAAAAAAAAAAAAAAAAAAGGGAAAGGAAGTATACTGGTTCGGTTCAGCCGCTGGAAGAAGAAGGCCAAATCCAAAAAAAATACAGAAAGCTTCCCTTTAGTTTCAAGGAGTTTTATTTTGACCCATTTATTCT